ATCAATAAAAATATATTAAAAAAAGAGACATCATGCATAAAAATATATTGCCTCAGAATAAAATTCTATAGGAAACTGAAAGAGAAATATGTGCTCAAAGAGAAAAAGGAAAAATGTAAAGTATCTGTTAAAGAGGTAAAAAAATTTTAATGTGTTTTGCAAGTGGATGATGTAGGTACAGAACTGCTCTCATATATTATTAATATTCTACGGAATACATTTTAAAAGTTTAGGTAACAATTTTGTTTTAAAATGTTAAAATAGACCACATTTTCTTTATTTAAATTCATGTTGAAAAATTCAGATGTCAGGTTAAAAATGTACAAGTGGTACAGCTTTTCAAAATTCTTTTAGGAGGCATATGTCCAAAGAAAGTATGAAGACACCAAGATCTAAAATTAAATTCCTTATCCATTCCTTCTCATCTTCTACCCTCCTGCTAGTTCCATTTCCAGGTATCATCAGTGGAACTAGCCACCTGCACCAGAAGCTGGCATAAACTTTCACTATGTCCATATTTCTTACCCCATCAGTTGCCAGTCTTGTTGATTCTACTGTTTTATCTCTTGACTCTGTCCCCACCTTCCTTTTCTACTGTTGCCACTATCATCACCTCTCTCTTAAACGGCTGCACGAGGGTTCCTAAAGGGCGTCCTGCCTCTAAACTGTTCCTCCACTCCATCTCCTATCCACTGCCAGGCGAGGAAAACATTTAACCAAAAAAGCCAAAACATAACAGCCAAACAGCTCCAATCAAGCCACCTCCCGGTGACTGTGCCTATAAGACAAACCCAGTACGTGATCAGTATGATATGCAAGACCCTCTATGATCTGGCCTCAAGCAACCTTTCCAGGGTTATCTCTTCTCTTTATTTCTCCACTCATCCAATGGATTATTCACCATTCCTTGGGCCTGACCTGTATTTTCTTTTTTTTTTCTTTAAATACATATTTTTATTGGTTTCAGAGAGGAAGGGAGAGGGAGAGAGAGATAGAAGCATCAATGATGAGAGAGAATCATTGATCGACTGCCACCTGCGCCCCACCCTGGGGATAGAGCCTGCAACCCGGGCATGTGCCCTGGACTGAAATCGAACCCCGGACCCTTCAGTCCACAGGCTGACGCTCTATCCACTGAGCCAAACCAGCTAGGCCTGACCTGTATTTTCACATCGAAAACTTCAGCCCTGAATTCTCACTTTTCTTCTGTTAAAATGCCACTCACTTGCCACTTCACATCCAGTAGGATGAATACAGTAAAAAAGACATACGGTAACAAGTGTTAGTGTGGATGTGGAAACACTGCCACCCTCACACACGGCTGGAGGTAATGTGAAATGGGGCAGATGCATTGAAAACCAACCTGGCAGTTCTTTAGAAGGTCAAATGTAGAGTGACCATATGGCCCAACAATTCTTCCCCTAGATATATATCCCAGAGAAATAAAAACACATGTCCACATGACAACTTGTACACAAATGCTCATAGCATTATTCCTAACAGCCAAAAAATAGAAACAACTCAAATATTCACCCCATGACGAATAAATAAAACGCAGATTATCCATACAATGGGACAGTTGTCAATAAGAAAGAATGAAGTACTGATACATGCTACAACATGGATGAACCTTGAAGACATGATGGTAAGTGAAAAAGGGCACTCACAAAAGGCAACAGAGTATATGATTCTATTTAAATGAAATGTCCAGGATAGGCAAAAATCTAGAGATAGAAAACCGATAAGCAGTTGTCTAGAGCTGGGAAGGTGGAGGATGCTGGCAATTAACTGCTAATGTGTATGGAGTTTCTTTTAAGGGAGACAAAAATGTTCTAAAATTAAATAGTGGTGGGACTGCACAACCCTGTGAATAAACTAAAAAAATAAAAAATTTTAAAAATCACAGAATTATATACTTTAAATTGGTGAATTTTTAGATATTGACATTATAACTCAATAAAGATGTTTAAAATTTTTAAAAGACCACTCATCCTACAAAACCCACTTCCTTTATAAAACCCTGTCTGACCCCTCTTCACTAATAGTTGTTACTCTGGGTTATAGTTAATCTTGGCTTTCTGAGTTCCTGCAGTAATAATTTACACTTCTGATCACCACTGACTTCATTCTGCAATTTGGAGAGAATTTAAAGGGTGCTGAAAACAGATTGTTTGGGTTTAAGTACTTACGCCAGCGCTCGCTAGGTATGTGACCTTGTTCAAGTTGTTTAATTGCTGTGCCTGTTTCCTCATCCATAAAGTGAGAAAAATGGGAGGATCTACTTCCTAAGACTTTTGTGTGGATGAGTTAATACACAAAATGCCAACAATAGTGCCCTGCACACTGTAGAGGCTAGAGGTGTCAGTGTTAGCTGTTATTACTGTTGTATTATTACATTATTATTGTTGTATTAAACTGTCCATATGTTTGTGTCTTCCTCAGTTCGTGTTTCTCAGGTCCTAAGGGAAAGTTTATTATCCATCCTTGTATTTCCCAAAGAGGAAGAATAACATCACAGACGAGCATAAGGAGAGGAGCATGGGGGCCATGGCTCCAAACCTTTGGATAACTGCCTTCTTCAGGGTCATGACACATCAGCAGTTGGGCAAATTTAATGCAAACAAAGGGCTTACTGGCAGAAAAGAAGAGCAGGAAAAAAAATGTATCAGAAAGTGTTCATTAAAATTTTGTACTTCCACTAAGAAATTTAAACCTTCCCAAATATAGAAGTACCAAATATATTAAAGAGTCAACAGACTTGCCCAAATTGTCACATTTTACCCACATTTACCCAAATTCCTCCATATGTTTCATTTATTCATTCTTAACAAGTGCCAATTATGCACCGGGCACCACATGCTAGACTCAGGAAATGTATAATCTATTGCTTTTGCAAGATCTCCTCACACTACTAGGAAAAGACGTTAAAGGTGTCTGCTTCTAACTATATTTGTGCAATGTTTACTCAAGCAAAACGACAAATTCTATACTTAACAAAAAGTTATTCAAAAGGTGAATTGAGCCCAGCCGGTGTGGCTCAGTGGTTGAGGGTCGACCTATGAACCAGGAGGTCACAGTTTGATTTCCCGTCAGGACACATGCCTGGGCAAGAGGCAGCCGATCAATGATTCTCATATATATATATATTAGAAAAGGCTAATTGAACTGAACTTATATGATTTAACTGTCGGGCATCTGGAAAATATTACTGATCAAAAAGAACAGTAGAGCCAAAACCGGTTTGGCTCAGTGGATGGAGCATCGGCCTGCGGACTGAAGGGTCCCGGGTTCGATTCCGGTCAAGGGCATGTACCTGGGTTGCGGGCACATCCCCAGTGGGAGGTGTGCAGGAGGCAGCTGATCAATGTTTCTCTCTCATCGATGTCTCTAACTCTCTATCTCTCTCCCTTCCTCTCTGTAAAAAATCAATAAAATATTTAAAAACAAAAACAAACAAACAAAAAAAACAGTAGATTGCTTCTGGCATAAATTGAGGGGGAAAAAAGCTAAAAATATTGCCTACCTAAAAAAAGAAAAAGCTTTCGCAGATCAATGTAGTACTTGTAGACGCGAATATCTAGTATGTAGGTTATTCACTAAAACCTAAAGTATGACACCTTAACTATCACGTAATGTTTATCAATTATGGAAGCAAAATATACTTCTCCCCAATTTTATACAAACTCCCCTCTGCAAGTGAAATCACGCACAAAAAACTGAGTACTTGGAAATTCTTGCACTCAAGAACGCCAGTTTAGCCCTGGCCGTTAGAGCGTTAGTGCTTAGAGCGTCAGCCCAAGGACTAAAGGGTCCAGGATAAATTCCCAGTCAAGGGCATGTACATGGGTTGCAGGCCCAATCCCAGCCACATTGATGTTTCTCTCTCTCTCTATCTCCCCTCCCTCCCTTCCACTCCCTTTAAAAATCAATGTATCCACGGGTGAGGATTAACAAAAACAAACGCACGCCAGTTTAATCTGCAAAGGTCTTTGTAGCTACCTTAATCTCATGACCCCTCATATCCTTCATGTGGCACTTCTAGTTCTTCTTATAACCCACTGAGAGATGCTATTGTTTTTACCATATTTATAGAGCCAGCTTATTCTCTCTTTCCAAATGAACAAAAGGTGTACTTAAAAAAAAAACATCACCTCAATATATTAGTCATTCCTTCAGGCTTTCCTCAAACTCTAACGCCCATTAACAAATTGGAAGGAAGAAATATTGTAACCTTGGTACACAATAGCTGTTAAGTAATTATTTGCTGAGGGAATGAACTTATCAGAGTGCGCTTGTGTCTACAAACTCATGCAGAGATACAAACTAATCCAGTACACCCTATATATGTGGGGCATTTTACTGTTGTGGTTTTTATCATTGAATAATTATGGATTTGGTGCCAATAAGAAGCCCTTTGCTGTTGAGATGGAAACAAAGTTTAAAAAGCTGTTATACATAGTTTCTGGACTATTTTCAGCATTCTGGGTGTCACTGGGACTCGAGAAAAAGGACAAAGCAGGGTCATTGGTTCATTGCATGATGTATATTCTAGGATGTATGGGAGCCAAAATCAGGTAAATAAAAGCTACTTTATTACTGGGACGCTCCCAGGGCTAACAGGAACAGCATGCACTTTATTCCAATATAGAGAATAGGTGACAAGAGAAAGTTTTCATTTCAGTAAGCGAAGAAAAGCCCTTAGGGCGCTGGTTCCCAAATTTTGCTATATATTGTAATCACCTGGAGATTTTCTTTTTTAAAGGCGTTGGCAGTACTGCCCTCACTGCACGCTAATTGGGCAGTAACGCCACCCCAAAAAAGGATGGTTCACTTGGGGATTTTTAAAAACCTACTGGTTTCCAGCCCCAAAATTCTGAGCTAATTGGCATCAGGCACAGCCTGGGCACTGGGATTTTCAAAGCTCCGTAGATTATTATAATGTGTAGCAAACTGAGAACCACTGCCCCAGGGTTCGAAATGTACGACTTTCAACAACTTACACCTGAGGCCTGAGAATCTTCAGCTGAGTGAGGATGTCCTTCTGCACCCTGGGGTTAGCTGTGGCAGTGAGAGCCATCACTGGAACAGAGGGAAACTTCTGGCGAAGCATATTCATTCTTTTGTAATCCTGACGAAAATCATGTCCCCACTAGTTGAGAGAAAAACCCGCTTTTCAGACCATTTGAATCTTTCGTTTATACAAAGCAAATACTGCTCACCACATTCAGAACCACCTTCAAGTGAAATAGAATATTCTTCAGTGAAATAGAATAATTCACCCAATGTTTTTTCTCTCTTTAGTTCTGAAAATATATATACTGTTGGTGGTATATATTTATCAATATTTCAAGACGTAAAAAACAGTATTTACCTGACTGACACAATGTGCTTCATCAATAACAAACCTTGCCAAGAGCTTCCTCTCATACAGATTCTCCAGGGTAGAAATCAGCCTGTTACTTGCACAGACCTAGGTCAGAAAAGGATTAATTAGACCTTTAAAAATATTTAAGCATCACCTCACCTCAAGGATTCTGTTGTCTTTAAGTTCCACTGCAACTTACGCTCCATTAAAACCTTCAGAGAAAACTGGTTCTTATTCCATTACCAGAGGCCCAATACACGAAATTTGTTCAAGAGTAGGCCTTCACAGCCCCAGCTGCCCGGCAGCCCTGTCCCCTGCCCCGCCCCACCCACTGGTCATTCTGGAAGGTTGTTCAGCCATCTGGTCTAATTAGCATATTAGCTCCTTATTATATAGGATATGAAGAGAATTAGCAGAAGTGATAGAAAATAGCAGAGACATTTTAGGATGTTTAGCAAACAGTTATGTATCAGGTCAGTGGTTCTAAAACTTTGGACCTCAGCATACCTGAGGGCCATGTTTACACTGGGAAATGGCTATGGATACGTTACTTGCATGCTTGTTACTTGGGGAGGGGGATACACACACACACACACACACACACACACACACATATATACATACTATATGTATGTATATATTTCATAGCTCTGTCCATGACAGGGCCTAGAAGCAATGACATTCTAGTATTAACGACCACATCTGGCACCCTCATCTTAACAGGCATGTCAAAAGGACAGAGGCCAGTTTGATGAAGCTCTCCCATTGGCCAAATTAGAACATTCAAATTACATAACAAAAATAGATGCTAGCCTACTATATAAGTTAAAATTCCATAATTTCTTACTAATATAAGTAAATATATAGGTAAAAGGGAAAGCTATTTGTTATAGTAAAATGCCAACTAATTAGAAAAATCATCATTTGGCAGCCATTATACTAATAACTAAAGGGGAATCATCGATGCATGATAAAACTATTAGGTAAAAGTCTGATGAATAACAGGATATTTACAGTTTCAGAATATCCCACAACAATTATCTACTATTACAAAGGCAGAAAATAACCAAAAAAACTTACATTTATGACAAAAGAGAAAAAAGTAATTTTACAGTGAAGAAGTCTGGCAGACACCACCTAACCTAGGTGACTAGGTTAACTAACATCACCAATAACAGAATAAACTGACATCAAATGCCTCCTGATAGGATGCACTGAGAACTTATCACCACTTCTGATGTGCCTGCCAAGATGAATAACTTGAATCTAATCACTAGGAAACATAAGATAAACTTAAATTGAGGGACAGTTCTCAAAATAACTGGCCTTTACTCTTCAAAAGTGTCAAAATTGCCCAGTTTGGCTCAGTGGATAGAGCATCAACCTGCAGACTAAAGGGTCCCAGGTTCGGTTCTGGTCAAGGGCACATGTCCGGAATGCTGGCTTGATCCCTAGTGGAGAGCGTGCAGGAGGCAGCCAATCAATGATTCTCTCTCATCATTGATGTTTCTAACTCTCTCTCCTTCTTCCTTCCTCTCTGAAATTAATAAAAATATATTTTTAAAAAATTGTCAAAATCATGAAAGACAAATTATTTAAAGAGACAAGACAACTAAATGCATATTCTAGGAATTTCTTTTGCTATAATGGACATTATTAGGACAACTAGTGAAATTGAAGTTCATAGACTAAATAATAGTGTTGTATCAATGAAAACTTTCTGATTTTGATCATTATACTGTAATGCAAGAGAATTCCTTTTTTTTATGAAATGCATGGCGAAGTATTTAAGGTTAAAAGGATATATCATGTCTACAACTTACTTTCAAATATTAAAAAAAATAGAATGATAAAGCAATCACAGTAAAAGTTACTATTTGGAGTTTGTGGGTGAAAGTCATACAGGAAATCTTGCACTATACTATATATCAGAAATATGTCAAAATTGAAAAATGTATGTATTCTAGTGAGCTTTTAGGAGATGATAGAAAAAATATATTGGTCTCCACCCCAGTGTCCGGCAGAGAGCTCCCGAAATCCTTGCAATTTCCTAAGTGATAAGAATGCTGGGAGCATCTTTTTACCCTAGAGTCAAGTCTGGGGGGATCCTGGGTGGGGGCTGGTCACCACCAAGACCAAGCCATGATTAGAACCTTGGAATTCGCAGCGCCACCCTGCATCCTCCAGACAGGGGGAGAGGGGCTAGAAATAGATTTAATAATTGATCGTGCCTGTATGGGGAAGCCTAAATCAAATCCCCAAAGTATGGGATTCAGAGTTTCCGGGTTGGCAAACACATCCACACCAGGAGGGTGACACCCCCAACTGCATGAGGACAGAAGCTCCTGTGCTCTGGACCTCCCCAGACCTCACCCAGCATTTTTCTTCATCTGGCTGTTTGTCTGTATCTTTATCATGTCCTTTAGTAAACTGGTAAACTTAAGCACTGCCCTGGGTTCTACGGGCTGCTATAGCAAATTAATAGGAACTGAGAAGGGAGTCATAAGAACTTCTGATTTATAGCCAAATCAGAGAAGTTACGGGTGACCTGGAAGGAAACAATTGTGTTGGACTGAGCCCTTAACCTGTGGGACTTGACACTATCTCTGGGTAGGCAATGTCAGAATTGAGTTAAATTATAGGACAATTGGCCGGTGTCACAAGAATTGCTTGGTGTAAGGAAAAAACCTCCACACACTGGATGAGCAGAAGGAAGTATTCTATGTGAGGAATAAAGGAGAGGGACAGAGGAGGGAAAGGCTGGGTTTTCCATACTCAAGAGCAAGAACTGAACTGTTTTTACTAACACAGCTCTAATGTCATATTTTAAAATAATGATAAAATACAAACCTTCTCTGGAGTAACATACAGAAGTTTTATAATTGGGTCTTTTTTTGATAACTGGAGGTAAATACTTGTAGCTTCTGAGTCGGTCTTATCACCTGTCAGATATGTAGCTGGAATCTAAGTATTAAAGTAGTAAACAATAAAAATTTTACACAGTAATCTGATTTAAGCTTATATTTACCCTTAGCTTTTATAAATATTTTATAAGTTGCATGTCAAACCTAACAGAGGAAAGATAATCTCAATGTAATAAAAATAACAATAAGGCCCTAACCGGTTTGGCTCAGTGGATGGAGCATCGGCCTGCGGACTGAAGGGTCCTGGGTTCGATTACGGTCAAGGGCATGTACCTTGGTTGCAGGCACATCCCCAGTGGGGAGTGTGCAGGAGGCAGCTGAATTGATATTTCTCTCTCATCGATGTTTCTAACTCTCTATCCCTCTCCCTTCCTCTCTGTAAAAAATCAATAAAATATATTTTTAAAAAGTAACAATAAGTACATAGTACATTTTTTAAAAACCCTTACTAACTACAATTTAAAATATTCTTCTCATTGATTAATTTTTTCTTTTTTCGTTTTCCTTTACTTCCTTTGCTTTTCATGTTTGTAAGTAATATAAATATGAATTCAGCATCCAAAAGATCCAGTCCTAATGTATAGGTACATTCTTTTTTAGGTAAATGTGTATTCAGGGTTTTAATGGGTAACAGTGATGCAAAGGCCGTAACATCAGGACTGACTTAACAACGGCTATCATCACTGCACTAAGACATTCTTTGGAAGAAGAATCAAACCAGCGGTCTTGTTGGAAAAGGTAGTGGCGCCCTAGCCTGTTTGGCTTAGTGGATAGAGGGTCAGCCTGCAGACTGAAGGGATAGAGGTTCAATTCTGGTCAAGGGCACATGCCCGGGTTGCTGGCTGGATCCCCAGTAGGGGGCGTACAAGAGGCAACTGATCAATGATTCTCATCATTGATGTTTCTATCTCTCTCCCTCTCCCTTCCTCTCTGAAATAAAAAAAGAAAAAAAAAGAAATCCACCATAAAAAAAAAGGTAGTGGCTCATAACCCTGAAAGTAATTGTTTGATCACAATATGCAGGATTTAGTAGAATGAATCCATATACTATTGTAATCTCAGCCAGGAGGAAAAAGGACACACGTGTGGGTACAGGCATGTGTATGCATTTTAAGACGTTAAGGGAGTAAGATAAGAACTATGCTGATCTGGCAGTAATAAAAAAAACCTCCTTTCATATTAAATAAAAATTTTTTTATATCAGCAAAGTACAAGTTAAAAGTTCTTACTAAAATACATTCTCCTAGAATAAAATCAGATGGAAGGTTATCTGTATGAGAATTTTCAGACTTGAGCTTAAATGTACAACTTAATGTAATAGCTGTACTTCATTCTTATGATTCACAAACTATTAAATAAAAAGGCAGCCCAGAGTACTAAAATATAATTATTTTTAAGTTATATTTTTATGAGCATTTTTATTGTAACTGGTAGAATTTTGTTTTTAACTTACATCCAATGAAGTCAGCTTTTGGACTTGATCTACGATAAGTGACCTCAAGGGAGAAATGACAATCGTGACCCCAGGAGAAACACAGGCAGGGAGCTGGTAACACAGGCTTTTACCACCTCCTGAAAGAGAGATGAAAAAGAAATACCTGTCAGGCCCTATCTTGAGAGCATGAAGGCAAAAGTTACAAAGTAAACCACACACAATATTTAAGATAATTAACAGAATACCAAGTGATATTTCCTATGGTGCCACAATTTGCCATATTCAAATGAGTCAAAATACTTAGACAATTTAAATGTGTAAAGATTATCTTTCAGGACATCTCATATAGGTACATATGATAGCAAAAGCAAGAATCAGGGCGGAAAGCTTAAATGCAATAGAATTGCTTTAGAAGTCTACTTGGGAAATCCAAATGCAGTATAAGAGGCACTCTAGTTATGATTCTAGGATTAAAATAATTATCTATACCAATAAAAGGGTAATATGCTAATTAGACTGGGAGACCTTCCAGACAAAGCCATGGTGGCGGGGCCGAGGCAGAGCCAGTTAGGGGCAATCAGGCCTGGAGGGGAGGGTAATTGGGGGTGACCAGGCCGATGGGGGGGGGCAGTTTTGGACGAGAAGGCTGGTGGGGCGGGGGAGCCGTTGGGGGCGAGCAGGCCGACAGACAGAGTGGTTAGGGGCAATTAGGCAGGCAGGCGAGCAGTTAGGAGCCAGTGGACCCAGATTGCGAGAGGGATGTCTGACTGCCAAGTTAGGCCCAGCAGTCAGACATCCCCTGAGGAGTCCCAGATTGGAGAGGGTGCAGGCCGGGCTGAGGGACACCCCGCGGCCACACGAATTTCGTGCACCGGGCCACTAGTTTCATATATTTCATTTTAAAGAGTTAAAATGTGATAAAGTATACAATATTAAAACCCACAGTTAACATGGTTTAATATTTCTTTGATGATCCAGAGGGCACTTCTAGAATCTCTTTTGTTAAACCACTAGTATGAATACTTCCTGTACTCTTATCCATAGGGTAATATTCCCAATCTTCCTTTGAAGTAAAGGGTAGAACTATATTTGTGTGCATTAACAGAGGATGAAGAGAAAGAAATTTCTTTTGAGATCAAAGGGTGGGGGTGGGGTGGGGTGGGATCTCTCTACATGTAACTCTAATTCAAAATGGCAAGACAATCAGTACACATTTAATGGTAACTGAAATGATTAATCCCTAATTTTCAACTTCATCAGCCCACTAATAATAGAAATTTGTGCTAGGCAGTTTCTAGGACTTTTTTTTTTTTTTTTAAATTAAACAAAACAGTCCATCTTTTCTGCATGTGTAGTAAGTAATTTCTCTTTGGTATTTATGTGTAAATGTCATGGCAAGACCAGGAAGCTGAGTTCTAGTTTCAGTTCGACCACTTAACAGGTTATGTGACTTAGACATGCCGTCACCCTTATCACGCCTCAACTTTATCACGTCCAACATGTACTAGATCAGGAGCTTACAAATTTTGTCAAAAATAAACTATAGCCGTAACCGGTTTGGCTCAGTGGATAGAGCGTCGGCCTGCGGACTGAAGGGTCCCGGGTTCGATTCCGGTCAAGGGCATGTACCTTGGTTGCAGGCACATCCCCAGTAGGAGGTGTGCAGGAGGCAGCTGATCGATGTTTCTCTCTCATCGATGTTTCTGACTCTCTATCTCTCTCCCTTCCTCTCTGTAAAAAATCAATAAAAATATATAAAAAAATAAATAAATAAATAAAAAATAAACTACACACACACACACACACAATAACAAGAGTTTAAATTGGAATGGAAGGACACATAAAAACACCCCCTCAAGCCCTGGTCAGTGTTGCTTAATGGTTAGAGTGTTGGGCCTTACACTGAAGGGTTGAGTGTTCGATTCCTAGTCAAGGGCACATGCCTAGGTTGCAGGTTCGATTGTGGCCCCAGTCGGGGTGTGTGCAGGAGGTAACCAACCGATATGTTTCTCTCCCTTCCATTCTCTATAAAAAAAAATCAATGAAAAAAAATGTCCTTGGGTGAGGATTAACAATAACAACAAAAACACCCCCTTGAAACCCCAAAGGACCATGGGAAGCCCCCCAAAACCAGTGGACGACTCAGGGTCCTTTCCTGCTTTAGTTTTGGAGTACCAACTTGGAGAGGACACAGAGCACAGAGTAAACAAGTTAATGAAACAGGAAATGATTATTAATCGAACATCACCTAAATTTTAAAATCAGTTTGAAAAAACTTCAGATAGCCAGATAATACTATTAAACAATGATGGCAATTACTAATTGCTTAAGGTCACAACAAGGAGAGTAGACGGCCCAGGGAAGATAACATGTGCAAGTACTGAAACTCCAAACTCCCCCTGGTTCTTATCCGAACTGCTTATTTAATAGTCTGACTTGGATGACTATAAATCATTGAACAGCTGTTATAAACGTTTACAGCACAATGAAAAGTCCTGGATCTCTTCAAAACAGGCCAAGGAAGAACTACGCTAAATGCTTTTCATTTAATTTTCATAACACTCTGTGAGACAGGTTCTTTATTATTATCCCCACTGCACATGTGGGGTCCAAGGAATGAAGGGCCTTGCTCAAGGTCACTCTGCTAAGAAATGGCAGGGCTATGCCTTAAGCCCAGGCCACCAATCCAGAGCTGATGGTTTTAACCACCATAGATCACTAGACTGTAAAAAATCAACTGCCAGAAATGGTCACATCTCTATTCCAGTCCTACATTTTTATTCATGTTCCAGACTAATTTAGACTAGGAAAAGAAAAATCCCCAAAGAGAAATTCTATATCAGTTCAACACAACGAGCTTTGAGTTGAAAATCTTAAAGGGCTATAAATGTTATCATGTCAACAACTAGAACAGAGGGTATGAGGTAATACACTTTCTTACTATGGCATGGGAGGTTTAGAGGCCCATAAATGATAGAAATACTGTCGGTGTTCTTTTTATTTCTATTAAAGGGCTTTCATTTCACATCTGCCAATGGATTCCTGCCAATTCACATCTAAAAATACATACCAGTGGGCATTAAGATAAAACAGTCTTCACCAAGCAGTGCAGCATTGATCGCCTCTAGCTGATTAGTTCGAAAATGATGGAGACCAAATTTTTTATGAAAAATCTTCATCATTTCTTTTGTATGAGGAAAATTAAGGCTTTGGAAATGCTCGTGATTCAGATTTCTGGATGGTAAATTTTGCGTCGACTGGTCTAAGAAAATAATCAATGTTCAGAAAAAGCAGTGCATTAATGTCACAAGACAGTTGCAGCGTTTACTCTTTGCCCTGCATAATCACTGACATGCCTTTCCCTATAGCAAATTCCTTCTTTAACCATGTACTGAATTTCCTTCCATACAAGTGTCAAGGCCACCAAAGACTTCCTAAGGGCCAAATTCAAGTCTTTCCTTGATTTCTCTACAGCACTACCACTACTCTCTTTCCTCTTTCCTCTTCTCTTCTGACTGACCTTCGAGACATCTGTGGATTTAAATTCCCTCTCTTGGTTCCACTTCTCCACCTGCCCCTGAAATTTGGAAGTCTTTCAGGCACTTGGGGCCGGGCTCTTTAGATGCTCTTTTTTGGAATTTTCCTAGTCCTATGAGCTTCAGCATCACCTGTGTGCACAGAAGGCACAGATCTCTGTAAGAACTGACTGATCCGCTCTGACTGGTTTGGCTCAGTGGATAGAGCGTCGGCCTGCAGACTGAAGGGCCCCAGGTTCGATTCCGGTCAAGGGCCTGTACCTTGGTTGCGGGCACATCCCCAGTAGGGGGCCTGCAGGAGGCAGCTGATCGATGCTTCTCTCTCAGTGATGTTTCTAACTCTCTATCCCTCTCCCTTCCTCTCTGTAAAAAATCAATAAAATATATTTTAAAAAACAAACAAAAAAAAGAACTGACTGATGTACTCCTAAGTTCCAGTCCCATATGCATCTTCAGTTGTCTGCCAGACATTCCTACCTAAATGACTTACCAAAACTGTAAGCTCAACAAGTCTTGAAATAGCCCTCCTCAGCATTTCTCCAAATCTGCCTGTCTCCTGATTCTCCTATTTCTGTTAATGGTGTCACATTTCCCAGTCACCCAGTCAGAAAACTCAGTCATCTCAGCTTCCTGATTCTTCTTCCACAATGTCACTCACATCTGCCCCCTGCTCTCCGTCCTTGCTGTCGCAACTTTGGTTCAACACAGAGAATTAGAGCCCCCGCCAGCTTTGGCAGTTACTCCAACTCCAACGCTCAACTATCTCAAGATAATTGCGAACGTCAAGTATGACACATTCTAACAGCATACAAAAATAAATCCATTAAAGGTTATTTAAAGGTCAACAGTGTAACTATAAGAACAACCTCCGTGGTATTAAGTCATCAATAACAAAAATAGAGAGGGCTGTACTTTACAGAACATTGTACATCTAAACTTGTTTCAGTTAAAAAACAAAACAAAACACTTTGTGGTAACTTTATAGGATTGATGTACGGTTTTAAAATTAATTTTGGCTTTTTTCTGCAGCCTTTACAGTGGCTAATTTCATTCCTCCAAAAACTTTCCTCAAACTGTGAATTCCAAGAGGGCAGGAACTATTCATCATTTATCCATTACCAGAACCCAGAGCAGAACATGCACATAGTGGGCACTCAATAAATATTTACTGAATGAATTAAAAGGAGTCTAGGCCAAAAGAAATAATTTGATGATTTAAGAAATGTAACTTCACACAATTTACAACAGCTAAGATCTGGAAACAGCCCGTCAGTAGATAAGTGGATAAAAAAGCTGTGGTACGTTTATACCATGAAATACTATGCAGGAGTAAAAAGGAAGAATCTCTTAGCCTTTGAGACAGCATGGAGAGACCTGGAGAGTATCACGCTAAGTGAAATAAGTCAGTCAGAGAAAGACAAGTATCACATAATCTCACTCATATGTGGAATCCAATTAACAAAATAAACTGATGAACTGAGTGGGTCCAGAGACATGGAAGCATGGAACAGAGTGCGGAATCTCGAAGGGAAGACGGGGAGGGTGTGTGGGTGGAAAGTAATAAACCAAAGACCTTTATGCATAGATGCATAACTCATGGACACAGACAATAGGCTGGTGAAGGCCTAGGGATGGGGGCGGGGAGTCAATAGGCGGGGGGGGGGGGGGGGGGGGAAGGGGACATATGTAATACTTTCAACATTAAAGATTTAAAAAAATAATAAAAACAACAACAAAAGAAATGTGACTTGAAATCTGTCTTCAACTGCCCTGTATTTTAATATTTTGCGACATAAACATTTCTCTACTTGATAAATTGATCAGTTCTCATCAAGTCAGAATTCTAAAATATACACTTACATTTTTGAATTGACCCTGAGAAGTTTTTATTTTGAGCAGCAGGTGTCACAGGGAGGCAGTCTGTCTTGGTTGGAGAAATTCTTTTTGATACTGATTTAATGGGCCGACCTTCCTTAATAGGTGGATAGGCAGCTGTGGAAGACTTGTTCGTTGCTAAGCCATGCATTATATTTTCCCACTCGTCATCATCATCTAAGTCATCTATGTCAAAATTATCAATCTCACAGGAGGCCTGGATTTCCCTTTCTAAGTCATCTGTTGAAGCAGTATGTTTATTCTGATCTTTCACAGCAGTGCTTGTAAGAACACTTCCTGGAAAATGAGGGCTTTCATTTCTTTTTTCTGTTCTTGGTGTTTCAGCCCAGTTGCTACTCACAAAGGACTTCTGTAAATGGGAATTGAATAATGGTCTTTCAAAGAGGTTCTTCTTGGTGACTGAGAACTCTGTCTTTCCTGGGGGAGTCACCAAACATCCCCGAGAAGAAATGGAATTTGAGGGAATGGGCGGAAAATGTAACTCATCAGAACTCCCTGTAGGGCAGGAATCGCCCTTTGAAAACGAATACGGCAAGGAAACAGATGCCATGTCCTCCATGGGGTTACCAAGGGCATCAGGCCTGTACCTCCACATTGAGCCAAGGACACTGGCATCACTTGGGTTAAAATCTGCTTCGGCTAGGAGTTTCCTTCTGAAGAGAAAACACACAACACCATAGTAAGTGTGAGCAGTCTGCCACGGTAGGCCACACAAGTATATCTTTAGTTCTCATCCCAAGTTGTGGCAAAATACATTCTCTTTTTTCCAATTTCAAAAATTTGGATAAAATACTAAAGGAAGCCCTAACCGGTTTGGCTCCGTGGATAGAACGTCGGCCAGCGGACTCAAGGGTCCTAGGTTCAATTCCGGTCAAGGGCATGTACCTTGGTTGTGGGCACATCCCCAGTAGGGGGTGTGCAGGAGGCAGCTGATCGATGTTTCTAACTCTCTATCCCTCTCCCTTCCTCTCTGTAAAAACATCAATAAAATATATTTTTAAAAAAATACTAAAGGAAAAGTTTGAGAAAGTAAATAAATTTAAAACATCTATTCAGGATGCTAACCATTTTGCCCGGTACGTTTCTGATAAAGTGGTGGCAATGCAGCCAGATATACTCCAGAAGGAGAAAAATCAAGGTACCTTATGTTTCGCTGCTGAAGCAGTTTGTCCCCGCAATCCAAAGCTTTCAGCTCATCATCAGGAATAGCATCAACTAAGTTACAAATGCGGTCCATCACCTGAATAAGCTGCTGCTGCAAACTTACCTGTCTACCTGTAAAGTAATTATGGTGTTAATATTGTACCTTGAAAACAAAAAAGACAAGTTTTTCAAAGTCATGCATGTAAAATCTGAAGTAATTTAAAAACAAAATTATAAACAACTTTATACTGTCCTTACTATCTGCCCGAGAAATAATATGAAATCAGATTGTCTCTAATTCTATATCATGAGAACCTGTAACGACGTTATTTAATTTCATGTTAATTCTTTTTTTTTTTAAATATATTTTATTGATTTTTTACAGAGAGGAAGGGAGAGAGAGAGAGTTAGAAACATCGATGAGAGAGAAACATCGATCAGCTGCCTCCCGCACATCTCCTACTGGGGATATGCCTGCAACCCAGGTACATGCCCTTGACCGGAACCGAACCTGGGACCTTTCAGTCCACAGGCCGACGCTCTATCCACTGAGCCAAACCGGTCTCGGCTCATGTTAATTCTTAATATTTCTCTTAGGGTAACCAAGGTTGTTGGAAGATAAAGTTTTATCAATTTGTTATGATTTTTTACTAACTTCAGGTGTAAATCTCACCATGCCCACACAAAATATATTATAAAGGGCTGCACAGGCAAGGACTCTTCACCCCACTCCCACTTCCCAACTCATTCTCACACAGATGCTTCTTCCACATTGCTCTGTACACCCCCCAGTCTGTTCTCTCTTCCTCTCCTCTCTGCCCTTTAGGCCCTTTAGCTGACTGCGCTTGGTCAGCAATTACCCAGGAGCCTCATTCTCTTCTTTGAACATTTTCTTTCCCTTATTTCTCTGATTGTCTCCTGTTTCCTCTGCAGCCCACCGACTGCCCTTTCTCCTGTGTACCTTTGGCCCTAGGGTAGAATAGACATCTTACTTGCTTCCCTAACCCATTTTTTCCCCCAACTGATTTTAGAGAGAGAGAGGAAGAGAGAGAGGGATAAAGAGATAAAAACTTCAATGAGAGAGAAACATCATCAATCGGCTGCCTTCTGCACGCCCCTCTACTGGGGATCGAGCCTGCAACCCAGGCATGTGCTCTGACTGGGATTCGAACCAGTGACCCCACCCGCCGGACCCAAGCTTCTTTTCAACGGTAACAGCATAGCACCCAGACTCTCTCTTTGGAGACCATCCCTGCCCCACTCCCTCAGTGGGCACCTGAGGTAAGTCAGCTCAATGAGAATCAGGTCAAGTTTTTTGGCTGGCCGGAAAAGAGGACCTCTCTTTTCAACAAGCTGGACAGGCTGCTGGTGGCCCTCTCTGCCACCACACAGGGAAACACACCTTGGAAATAAGACTAATACAGGGGAAGCATAAAACAGAGATAGACAGAAATGGAGGATTGAGATGGAGAGATGAGACAGCACAGAGGTCAGAGAAGGCAGGTGTGAGAGAAATTCCTGATAACAATAGTTGGGTATCTGAATCCAGCCCGCCCACTCCACATTTTGTTTAACCTATGTAACTAAGAAATAGAATGTCACAGAAGGCGAGGCTTTTGATGAAGGAAACAAATGGGTTAGGGAAGCAAGTAAGATGCCTACTCTATGCTTAGGGCCAAAGGTACACAGGAGAAAAAGCAGTCAGTGGGCTGCAGAGGAAACAGGAGATAATCAGAAATAAGGGAAAGAAAATGTTCAAAGAAGAGAATGAGGCTACTGGGTAATTGCTGACCAAGCGCAGTCAGTTAGCAGCGGTTCTCAACCTGTGAGTCGCGACCCCTTTTGGGGTCGAATGACCCTTTCACAGGGGTCGGCTAAATACATCCTGCATATCAGATATTTATATTACGATTCATAACAGTAGCAAAATTACAGTTATGAAGTAGCAACGAAAATAATTGTATGGTTGGGGGTCACCACAACATGAGGAACTGTATTAAAGCGTCGCGGCATTAGGGAGGTTGAGAACCACTGAGTTAAAGGGTCTAAACGGCAGAGAGGAGAGGAAGACAGAACAGGTTAGGGCAGCCGTGGGCAAACTACGGCCCGTGGGCCGAATCCAGCCCGTTTGAAATGAATAAAACTATTGAAATAAAAGACCGTACCCTTTTATGTAATGATGTTTACTTTGAATTTATATTAGTTCACACAAACACTCCATCCATGCTTTTGTTCCGGCCCTCCGGTCCAGTTTAAGAACCCATTGTGGCCCTCGAGTCAAAAAGTTTGCCCACCCCTGGGTTAGGGGGTGTCCAGAGCAATGTGGGAAGAAGCATCTGAGTGAGAATGAGTTGGGAAATGTGGACTCTTACTAATGACTGATGTAAACAGGAGCGTGAGGTATGAGATGGTAAAAGTGGAATTGCTGAATTCCTACTTTCATCTGTTTTCTCCGGAAGGAGAATGGGCATGAGATTGGAAAGAGGAGAATAAATAATGGTCTGAAGGAAATGAAAGCCAAGACAGGCTCAGAGGAAGATAAAGCCATTGGAAAGAAGCTCAAGTCTTCTTGTCTGGACAGATTACACTTCAGAATACAAAGGAAACCTGCAAACAAGATCTCAATGGTATCTGAAGCATCTAGTTGATGGAAGAGTGAAGACAAGCAAACATTGTTCTAATTTTCAAAAAAACTGTAAAGTGAGTGCCAAAACCTACAAGCTGATGATCTTGATATTGATTTAATACAAAATTCTAGAACACGGTATCAAACAGCTGCTTTGTGAGCTATAGAGAGAGGAAACAATTATAGAGTTAGCAAGAGTTCATAAAAATAAACCAGCTATCTTAACGTTCTAAGTTCTTTGAAAGGATTACTAGACTGGCAGATAATAGCTACCATTTACTGAAGGCCTACAGTGTACTTTACTTGACAACTACTCAGCAAGTTAAATATTATTTTCACCGTTTTATAGAAACTGAGTCCAGAGAAGCTTAACTAATGTGCCAAAGCCACACAGGCAGGAGTAGGACACGACAGGGCTGTATCTCAGGTCTGTGTCACTCTAGAGTCAATGTCCCGTCCATTTCCTCTTGGTGTCGCAGACCTTGAACTTCTGGAGTCATATGACCAAAATTTTAGGAACCCCAGGGACAAGGGAAAGAAGCAGGGTCTGAAAGTAGATTTGTAACTAGTGAAACAAGAAGTGGTGATGAATGAACTGATGTCAGCTGACAGGGAGGCCTCTAACAACATTCAGTAAGGCTCTGTTCTTGCCCCTGTCCTTGCCAATCATTCTGAAACTTAATGATGCAGAAACATTACAGTGCAGAGGCTGTCAGTGTAAACTCAAGAGCTTCAAGACTGCTGGGTTCAAATCCTAGCTCTGCTGTTGTCTACTTCTATGACCATGTGTCATCACTCCTGCATTTCAGTTTCCTTATTTGTAAAATGGGGATAACAGAAACTAACTTAAAGATCCCTTTTAAGGATTAAAAAAGTTAATATTGTAAGAAATTTGGAGCAAACAGAAGCAATACAAAGACCACTAGGCACACTGTATGTACAACATCCATCAAAGAAGAATAGAATGTGTTACAGAAATAGTCAGAGAAGAAAAAGAGCTCTTAGAAATGGATTTGATAAAAATGAAAAATTCCACAGAAGAGTTAAAGATAAAATTGAGGACATCTCCCAGAAAGCAGAGAAGCAAGAAATGGAAAACAGGAAAGTAGGTAATGGAACCCTAACATCCAAATAAGAGAAGTCCAGGAGGAGTGAAAGAAAAAAGAAGGAAATAATAGAAAACCTTCCAGAATAGAAGGACACAAATTTCTAGACTGAAGGAGCCCCTGGGAAGTAGAAATTAGGAGAAAGGAGACTGCTGTTTTTCAGTCGTATAGTACTACTAGATTATTTTTACTAGATATTTAATAGCAAACATTTTAATGAATTAAGAAACAAATCCAACAAACAAAAAAGTATTAAACTTTAAGACCCAAACCCAGAGTTTATACAAGGAGAACAAGGAGGATGTCTAGAAACCAGAATCTATAAATAAGAGTTAAAAGACCTAATAATATGTAGCCTTAAAAAACACACACAAAACTTCTGGGAGCTTCAGACTTAATTTCACAAGGATTAACTTATGGGAAAGCAAATTTTGGTTCAATATAAGAAAATTTTCTAACAATTAGCATTTTCAAATTAAAGAATGAATTACCTTGTGAGAACATGAGTTCACAAGTTGTTTGAGCAGATGCTGGCTAACCAATGAGCAGGGATGATTCTATATTAGGGCAAAAGGAACTATAATTTGCCATCTTATACTCTACAGTCACAGGTAAAAATACAATCTTACTTGGTTTGCAAAAGTTAGTAATTAAAATACATGACATGTCTAAAATACTTTTTGTACCGTCACAGTCTCTGCTGGTTTCTTGGTTAGATTGCTGAGTAGGCATTTTCTCTGGTTTTGACAAGTCCTCTGGTGTGCTTAGGCCATCCTTCTTCCTGTCACAGGTGTCAAGCTCCTTTAACATACTACAAGTTTAAAAATATACAGCCAATCAACGTATAGAATACATCATTTTTCCTCTAATATTTCTGCACAGCTGGTCAGACAATACATAACAGAAAAGAGAAATATATTTTTGTATCTTCTCTATTCTAAAACCTCTTTAGCTGGCCCTCAAAGTCATTCATCTTCTGGCCCAGGAGACCTTTTCAACTTTGTCTCCAATGAGGACCTTTCAATAACCCCAGGCTCCAATCACAGTGCATGGCTTACATTCTTCACGTAAGTCCTGTGTTGGCTCCTTCAGAAATTCAGCCTCTGCTCGTCTATGAAAAACCCACCATTCCAATCTCTTCCTACCCAAATCACACCTGTTCCTCCAGGCCCAGCTCAAGGGCTATTTTTCTGATTTCTCCAGCAAGCGGTTTTTAACATCTCTCTTCTGAGATTCCAACGCATTTTACCCAGACTTCTCTTAAATCAACATGTATATGTGTATCTGTACATATAACCAACTTATACAGATCATACAAAAATATATTAACACATATTAACATAGTCAGTCTGACTAGATATAAAAAATACTTTAAAAGTAACAAAACAAGTACTGATTGTTAAAGAGAGGGTACTGTGGCAATCCAAAGAAAGATAAAGCTTTGCAAAGGGGATAGAATTGGAGGAAACCTTGAAAGATGGATATGAGAAGTGACAGACTATAAAGAGATAGAAAAGACAATTCTATTCACCTGATATCCAAGAATCAACTGTACTTTTCTAAAACAGGATTTTGGAATGCAATCTTCTAACTAAATCAAACATTGATGAATAAAACTATGTTTTATAAAATGATAATATATTATATTTAAGGAAAAGGCCTTACATTTTAGCAGTGTTTTCCAATTTGTCTCAAGGCTCATAGGACCTTAGGGTTATTATAAGGGCATAACTAGCGATAAAGCTGAAAGGTAAATTGGGGCCTGAAGATGGAGGATTCCAAGGGCCAGCTCAAGAGGTTTACGCATACAAGGAGCTACAAAAACATGTTTCTCTTTTCTATTATATATTACCTGACCATTACACTTCTGAAATTAATTCAGAAGTTACAACCAGCATTTTAAAATACAATAAAAGGTAATAAAATTTAAGTGTCCTCTGCATATAAAGCACGATTTGTGAAAATTCTATTTGTTTTATAATATACACAAATGTGTATATGAGGTCGCAGTGGGAAATTACAGAAAGAATCTACCTTGGAAATAAACATTTTCCAAGTGCTGAAGATCTAGGTAAAGTTAATTGCGGTATGAAAACTCAATAAATTATATAGTCATTAAATGGAATAAGAATAAAGACTACATAATATAGAAAATATTTTAAAAATACCACTTAAGAGAAAAAAAGCAGAAGCCTTGGCTGGGTAGCTCAGTTGGTTAGAGAGTTGTTCCCATATGCCAAGGTTGCAGGTTTGATCCCAGGTCAGGGCACATACAAGTATCATCCAATGAATGCATAAGTTAGTGAAACAAGCTCAGCTGGTGTGGCTCAGTGGTTGAGCACTGACCTATGAACCATGAGGTCACGGTCCAATTCCCAGTCAGGGTACATGTCCAGGCTGCGAGCTTGATCCCTAGTGGGGGGCGTGCAGGAGGCAGGCAGTCAACGATTCTCTCTTATCATTGATGTTTCTATCTCTCTCCCTCTCCCTTCCTCTCTGAAATCAATACAAATATATATTTTTTAAAAAAATAAGTGGAACAATAAATCGATGTTTCTCCCTCTCTCAAATCAATAAATTTTTTTAAAAGCAGAATAAATAGTAGAGTTACATGTTAATTACAGCAAAAATCATACACATGCAGAAAAAGGTCAAAACCGAACATAGATAAAGAAAATGTTTGGTTTGTTGGAATGTTGAGATTACAAGTAAGAATCCTGTTAAGTGGTTACAGTGTTATTTGTGCAATGCACACTTTATAAATAAACACACAAAAAGCCAGGAAATAGCACTATGCAGGATCTTGTCCACTGCCATTAATTTTATCATCCTGGGCCATCCCCTGCTTCTCCCTGGACCTCAGCTGCTTTACCTGCTAAATGATGCTGATTTAGAATCCAGACTCTATATGAACTCCTGATCAATTTTTTACTTTGTGCAATTCTGTCTGAATTTCTATTGGGAGGGAGAAGAGGAGAGGGCCGTTTTTTAGTTTAGAAGAGGAGGTAGTTTTTTAGTTTTGTCATCAAATAATAATCATGCTCCAACCTTTCCTGCCTCTTTAAACATCCCAACACACCTGTTAAAACACAAACCTGGAGAAACTCGATTATGCACACAAACACCTCCTTCCTGTCTTCCTTCTCTAATTAAGCTAACACACTACAGAGATCTATTTCTTACCAAAATACTGGTTAAAAATGTAGTATATAATCCACCACTTAACTGGACTGTGATTTAGACTGGGATGAGGACGGAGGTAACAATGATTATTAATTTGTATGTTAAGCTATTGATGATCTGTGTGGACTATGTATTTTTCCCCATAACACTACCACAATCATGTCCCTAATTTAATAAAATTCAATGAATGTCAAATACAATAGTCAATTCTATCCTGTAAGATTAAAAAAAAGGGGGGGGGGTAACATAACACTTACTAAGTAACTGTCCAAATAAGGAGTTAGCTTTGTGTCATATATTCCTCAAGTTAAAATCAACTACATAAAATTGTTTGGAGGTCTCATGAAATTACAATTTTGGTAGTCTGCTAAAGCTGGAACTTTATAGCTTTAGCATACCACCAATTAAATAAAATGTATCAATAGGAATTTTTTGAAGTTTTCATTTAGATATAAAATAAACTGTGCAGAGCATGAAATTATACAAAAATAATAGTGCGTAACTAAATTAAAGTATTTCAGATACCTCAAATGCAAACACTAATGCTTATTAATTAATTAGCTATTTTACCTAAAGCATTTTAGAGAGGAAGAAGAGGCAGAAGTCGTTATTTCTTCTGGAGAAGGTGGAATAAAATCGATATCATAATCATCTTCATCAAGTTGAACACAGGGAGATTTCTCCAGTGAATGGAATTCAGTTTCTTCCAAGTGTTTTTCCTTTTCACTATTATCTAAAGTAGACAGTTGATAACATAGGTTATTTTAATAATTAATGAGACAGAAAGAACAGGGTGTGAGCACTGAAAAGTGAGTGCGTCAGGCAAGTCATAAACACTAGCACCACTCTGTGAGCCCTCTCGTTTCCCACCTTAATGTCAGCTTGTTTTTTCATAAATTATTATTGAGTCAATTGGAGCAAGTCCAGTGAATACTGACTGGATTGAGGCCAAAGATCTGCTTAAGGCTTTTCATGACTGTCTCATTAAATTATGAAACTCTTACTTGGCACCAGCACTTTTGTTTTTCTATTTTTTACTCATATTTAAGTAAGAGTAAAGTGCAACAAATGAGTCTAATAATTTTACAAACACCATTGTTTGTACAAACTATTTTTACTTTATCACAAAGGCTTCCTAGTGCTTTAAGTCTATCAGATACAATCTCTCTCTCCTGACTACAAGGAAAAACACAATGCCCAATTGTTGCTCTTTAGTTTACATTTTACAAGTTTTCTCTTCATAAACAGACACACATCTGATTAGACTATAGCTCTGTTTATTATCAATCACTTTCTGGTCCTCTCTCACCCTACAGGATTCAGGTACTTAAAAATTTGTCTCATGCCTGACCGGTTTGGCTCAGAGGATAGAGCATCAGCCTGTGGACTAAAGGGTCCCGGGTTCGATTCCGGTCAAGGGCATGTACCTTGGTTGCGGGCACATCCCCAGTGGGGAGTGTGCAGGAAGCAGCTGATCGATGTTTCTCTCTCATCAATGTTTCTAACTCTCTTTCCCTCTCCCTTCCTCTCTGTAAAAAAATCAATAAAATATATTTTAAAAAAAAATTTGTCTCACATTTGCAACGATTTCATAAGGTAGGTACTTCCACATATGGCTAATCTTAGCTATGAGACCTACACAGAAAATAATTTGAATGCAATTTATACTCTAATAGCATGATCAGATCATATTATGCAGCAATATTCAGTGGCAGCAAGCCATAAAAGAATTATAATAGAAAGGCTTAATTCACTTCCCAATTCTACCACTTACCAGCCAATAGACCATTTAACCTCTCTGGACCTTATTTTCTTCATATGTAAAAATCACAGATTATTAGCAGAATAAAATCTTTCATTTCATCAGTATATTCTGCCTCAAGCATGTGGCCAACAGATTGTTCAATAAACACCTCTAAAGATCTGAAGGACAAAAGCTATATCATATTTGCTACTGTTCCAAAACCTAGCTTTGACTGAATGAATACAATCGACATACTGAAATGAAAATAAAGTAATTTTTACCTCTTTCCTCTCCCAAATGAGTTTTTAAAGAGTGGCTATTCTGAGTGTCTTCATTTGTAAGCTCTTCGGAACTGGGGCCATCATCAATACAAATCACACCGCTACTTAAGCTACTTAACCATTCGGAGTCCGCCTTCTGCTCCTTAGTCAAATCTACTTGCTTGCATTCAGAGGAAGGAGTCGTCAAGTCAACCTTTACTGTATCTTCCTTTTGAAGCTGTGCTTTAAAAAAGTTTCTCTTAGACTTTTTCTGAGCAGTGCTTACTCTTACAGAGTGATTTTTGAGTGGTGTAACAAATGCTTTTGAATTTCCAGAAGTATCAAAGTCATCCATATCATCCCAATCTGATGAAGAGCTATATTCTAATTTCTTGAAAGTAGCATCACGGAATTCCTTTATACTGGGGGTGCTCTGCGTAGCAAGTGAAACTTCCCTCGGGATCTGCAACGAAGCTGGCAGTAACGGTTTTGAACCAATTCTCTTGGTTTGCTGTCCTGCAGCAGCATTTTTACAGTCACTGATCCTTGTTTGCGGATTCAATGTATGAGGTAAAGTTTCACTGAAGGAAAAGTCCTCAGTAACATTAACATCTTTATCACTTAACACAGGTGTCTTTGCTACTGACACACAAGTCACAGACACATTGTTGGCTGAAGATACTTTCTTTTTAAAAGTGAAACAGCTGGAAAATGAAATACTCGAATTAGATAAATTGTAACAAAGCCAGTAATTTTTTTACTAACTTATATAACTTACCTTCTATCCCCCTCTCCGATTTTAAAATTTCTAAGGCAAGTTCAAGTATACTTTGTATGCTCTGATCCTTCTATTCAGGGCTAATTATTCAGTTGTGAGCGTATCCAGGCCATTCCCTCTACTTTATTTCTCAGGCTTGTAGTTCTTAGTCATCCAGAGGGAGAGGGTGGCATAAGTGAAAAAAGGGAAAAGACTCAAATGTGGCTGCTTGTTGCTACTCTGATCAAAGTTTTATGGGGGAAAATGTACTGAGATTTGGAGGAGAAGTAAGAATCCTAGATACCGCTGGACTTAGCGACATAAAGGTCAATGGTGACTTTAAAGCCAGGCACCCAGAACTTGGTAAGGGTACAATAAGGAATATAAATCATTAGATATCATTAGGAATTTGGAGTGTATCTTGGAGGAAAGAACAGAACCAGAGAGCTATAGTTTCTTTACAAGTTGTTTTTGGAAAAGATATAAAATTATATTAAAATGCTAAAAAATACCTATTTGCCTAAATTTACAAAAAGATTCATTATTAATTCACTCAACAAATATTTACTGAGCAAGTGTTATGTGCCAGGAACTGCGCAAAAGTGCTGAACAATTTATTACCTGGTGCTGCTAACACATGTTCTACCATTAACTTGCAAAGTGGGAAAATCATTGACCTCACAGCTTCGTTTCCCCAGTTATACAATGAAAGGGTTGAAGGTACAGATATCTCATTTGTGTGATACTGTACTAGTATGTATAACAACAAAACAGCCAAAATACTTACGAAGGTTTTGGTTTTGAAAGATTTAATTTGTTGTTAAGTTTTCTGGCTGAATGACGCTCCAGTTGCTCCTGTAGGTTATTTTGAGGAACAGCAGCCATGATCCTAAAAAGAGAGGGAAAAATATCAGTACAGTTATGGGCTTTGCATGAATCACAATATTTGGGGGGGGGCGGGGGGGGGGCAGAGGGGATGGAGCACTGTTCCAACTGTGCCCAAAGTAATGAGGCTTTTTTGGGTCAATAAACTGTTTTGACATTTACAACTGGTTACATCTTAACTATATAATCTTTAACTAACTGGCACTCACTTGAATAGCAAAATGACCTGGTTTCCCCCAATGCTAAAACAAACACAAAGGACATTAAGGGAAGGGATTATTAGGAAAGGGCTTGCAGAAAAATGACACCTGGCCTGGGCTTGAAGAATAAATAGAAAGTAGACAGTGTGGTAGGAGAAAATAATCAAAGCATACTGAAAACCCACAGAACAAATGAGTAACGGAATTCACCGCCAATGAGAGCAATGGCTCCCCAGCAAGACACCACGTTTCATAATTATCTCGTTTCAAGCTGAAATACTTTTACCAAGCATAAAAGTATTCTTGTAGAATACCTTGTAGAACAAACTGTGATATTTGCTGAGCTATTGTCTGAGATAACGCACAGCTTGAGCCACCTTCAAGTTACTGGGGTACAAGAAGACAGGACAGCCAAAATCTATGGATAGCAAAAAATTTTCATTTCAGCTGATAGTTATAACTCCTTTCCCACTCTATTTTCTTTTAAAAAAAAATACTTTTATTGATTTCAGAAAAGGGAGAGATAGAAATGTCAATGATGAGAGAGAATCATTAATTGGCTGCCTCCTGCACATCCCCCACTGGGGATCGAGCCCACAACCCGGGCATGTGCCCTGACCGGGAATCAAACCAAGACCTCCTGGTTCACAGGTCAACGCTCAACCACTGAGCCCCTCTGGTGGGGCTATCTTTCTTTTTCAAATCAATGGGAATAAATAAAAAGTTATTGTAGAGTGACAAAAAGTCCAAACTAAATTTAATTTGCATGGCCCAAACTCTTTAAAATGCAAGGAAAAATAATACAAAGAAGCAGAATTGTAAGAAGATCAGAATCACTTGACCAACAGAAATGAGAAATGTACTAAGAACTCAGGTTCTTTGGTTAGTTCTGCCACAAATTCAGTGTGTGGCTTTGAGGAATTCATTGACTCTCTCCAGTGTCCTATTTCTAAAAGAAGAAGGTTGGGTTAGAAAATTTCCATGTTTCCTTCTAAAATTAGCCTTCCATGATTCTAAAACAAATAGGTATTTGGCAGGGATGAAATGAGAAAGATAGAAATATGTCTTTTAAAAATGTTGATGAGAATAAAAACTGCCATGAAGAAAAATATAACATATACAGAAAGTAGAGATTTTAAACAGTGGAGATTTTCAAAGTGGAGGCACAAGTTAATAAAACAAATTAGTAAGAAAAATATAAGCAAAATTTAGAAAGTTTACATTATGATCTTAATAAAACTGGAGTGAAGAAAAAAAATCCCAACATTACAAAATGAAACTATTTTTAAAGTGATAATTAAAATACTACACATTGAACTGTCTGTTAGTTGGCAGTGGTTCTTAGCAATGTGGGTCAGACTCTGGCAACAATCTGAAGAAAGTGACAGTCTCCACTCTGGCTTCTACCCTGATCACAATGCTAAATCCCTTAATTGGGGGGGAGGGGGGGGTGGTCACTAATGACTGATCTCCATGTTACTTATTACAATACCCCTTTTCAATCAATCCTCTTTTCTGATGGCTTAGCATATGACGAAGTTGATTATATGCTCCTTTTTAAAACACAAGCCTTCTTTCAGACTCTCTTGACAATTTATTCCTATTCATCCTCCATCCTCCAATGGTAGATCTAACCATTACTTCCTTAAGGAAAACTCTATATTTAGGTAGTCACATCTAAGTGGTTAAGAGCAAACAAAATACATGGATTTGTAGCCTGGCTCTACCACTTAGTAGCTAAATGCCCTTGGACATATTATTTAACCTCTCTATCTCAGATTCCTCATCTATACAGTGCCGACCCACCTCATATGTAAAGTGCTTAGAATAATAGTATCTGGCAGATAGTAGGCAATATATAAGTGTTTGATAAAGAAAAAATACCCAATACTATACCCTTATAATAATAAATACCTCTCATTTGCAGTTTTTATTGTAGTTGCAATTCTATTCACTTTTGTAATTATTTGGTTGGTATTTCTTCTACTAGATTGTAAACACTATGCAAAAATGGGCCATTATGGGTTTTATAACCCACAGCATCTCTAAGCACCTGGCATTAAATATTTATTAAATGAAAGAATAAAAACATTAAATAACATATGTCTCAACTATGACTTATCACAGAAATGTAAAGCTGGTTTAACATTAAGTGAAACCACTAATATGATATATCATCTTTACAGTTTAAGTAATAAAAATCAATGTAATCTGACCAATAAATTTTAAAAACATTTCTATCGGGGTAAAGCATACTAGCAATAAAGTACACTAATCTTAAGTAAATGGCTCAATATGGTTTCACTTAATGTATCTAACTATGTAAACAACATCCAAATCAAGGTATTGAACATTTCTGGCACCCAAGTATGCTTTCTTTCTTTTTTTCCAAATATATTTTATTGATTTTTTTACAGGGAGGAAGGGAGAAGAATAGAGAGTTAGAAAAATCAATGAGAGAGAAACATCGATCAGCTGCCTCCTGCACACCACCTACTGGGGATGTGCCCGCAACCCAGGTACATGCCCTTGACCGGAATCGAACCCGGGACCCTTCAGTCCGCAGGCCGACGCTCTATCCACTGAGCCAAACCGGTCAGGACCCGGTATGCTTTCTTGTGTCCTTTCCCAGTTAATACATCCCAGATGTAACCACTACCTGACTTTATCACCACAGATTAGTTTTGCCTATTTGCGAACTTTTTTAAAAGAAATTTTCTTTTATGATTTGAGAAAAAGGAAAGAAGGAGGGAAGGAGAGAGAGAGAGAGAGAGAGAGAGAGAGAGAGAGAGAGAGAGAGAGAGAGAGAGAGAGAGAGAGAGACATCAATGTGAGATAAACTGATTGCCTCCCACTTGCCCCTGACCAGGAATCAAACCTGCCACCCTTTGGTGTACAGGACGACGCTCCAACCAACCGAGCCACACCAACCAGGGCCTATTCTTGAACCTCTTGATATTTGTATACATGGAATCATACAATATATATTATCAATGCACTTTTGAAAAAGCATCTGATGAAACTCAAACTATTTCTAATAGATACATAACAGACCCAATATAATATCTTCTATTTTACAAGAGGGGCGAATCCATAAAAATATGGGCAAAAATAATATTGTTCTTTTATTTTCACTCTCATATTGAACATTCTTGCTGGTGCAAAAATAAAAATACTAGAAAAGAAGAAGCATGAATATCATGACTTGTAGACAATTAGATTACTCACATAATCCAGGCATAACAATAGATAATTAAAACTTTAGTAACGTGGTTCAATATAAACCCACAAAAGTTAAATGCAGTCTCATGTGGTAGTAATAACTAACTAGAAAATATAATTTTTAAAAGGCATTCAATTAACAATAACAATGAAAAATATTAAACAACTACCAAGTAACAGAGGCATACATCTTCATGATATGACAAAAATGACCAAGTATTACTGAGAGAAATGGAAAAAAAATTTGAATATTTCATGCTCTTAAATGAAAGGTTTAAATATCACAAAACAGTTCTTTGAAAATTAATTTATGAGTTTACAAAATTCCAACTGGAACACCAGAAGAATATTTCACAAAACTCAACAAAAACGCTTCTGAAATTCATTGACAAAACCACAATACAAGAATACTAAATAATACTGCAGTGGGAACTAGCATTTAGAATTATAATCGTATTAAATGTGAAAATAATTTAAATGAAAAACCTAGGTGAAGATGGGGTGGGGGGAGGGTGAAGGGCAGGGAGGAGGGGGGAACAGGGAGGGAGGGAGAATGGGAGCTATCTGTAATACTATTAACAATAAAAATTATATTAAAAAAAAAAAGAAAAACCTAGTCTCTAAAACATGTTTAATGTATAATGACAGAAACAATAAAATAGGGCAAAGAATCAATATTTAACAAATGCTAATCAATAAGCCATATACTCTAGGGCAGGGGTGGGCAACCTTTTTGTGAGTGCGTGCCAAAACCAGCAAAATCTCTGACTCAAAATTCTTCTGCGTGCCAACCCTAATTTTTTGAGAACATGTTATGCCTACTTGATATCTCTTAAGGTGTACTTATGTGAAGAATCTTGAAGAAATAATAAAATTCATTCGAGCGACAAAAACACAGTATATGATGATGAAAAATACATTAATTTTTTAATGTATACATGTTATGTAAAATTGTTTATTTATATAAGATGCACCTACACTGAATTTATCTGAACAATAAAAAAGTCGATATTAAGAAAAAAATTGTGAATGGAAGTTTATAAGAGAGGGTTTCGCGTGCCAGCAAAAGTTACTGGCATGGCATGCCAGGGGTTGCCCACCCCTGCTCTCGGTGGCAAATGATGACATGGGCCAAATCTGGCCTGTAGCCTGTGTTTGTAAATAAAGTTTTACTGAAACACACGTATGCCCATTTGTTCATATACTGCTGGCTACTTCAGCACCACAGATGGGTAGTTATGACAGAGAATGTTGAGTCTGCAAAGCCTAAAATATTTACTATCTAGCCCTTTACAGAAAGGGATTGTTGAAAGTTGCTCTAGATTATTGCTGGATAAAATAGAAAATTATTAAGTACATCAAATCTCTGACAAAAAGCTTAAAAACTTATCAGGTCAAAATCTAAATCAAAGTGGGAACCCAGAAAGTAAGGAGAGCACTGAAGTTCCTTTTCTCCCGAGGGCCGCTGTCTAATCCGAGAATCTGAGGATCAGTTTTGATAGCCTTGGAGGAAAAAATGCTCTCAATCAAAGTTAGGGACCACCAAGTGTGGGAAATATTCATCCCCCTGCAAAACCAGCACCACAGTCCTGGCCGGTGTGGCTCAGTTGGTTGAACACTGTCCCGTGCACCAAAAGGTCACAGGTTTGATTCCTGGTCAGGGCACATGCCCGACTTGTGGGCACCATCCCCAGTAGGGAGCGTGCAGGAGAGGAGACAGCCAACCAGTTTCTCTTTCACATCTATGTTTCTCTCTCTCCCTTCCTCTCTAAAATCAACAAAGACATATCATAAAAATAAAACTAGCACCAAAAAGGACGATATCATTTAGGAAAAGGTAAACTCAAATTAAACCCCCACTACCATCCCCAGGTGTCTGTCTATAAATAAAATTACCAGTTGCTGAGGGATTAAATGGGACAGACCCTGAAACTACAAATCCAAGAATCTTTTCAACACACACCTTAAGCCATGAATTTAGATTAAAGTGATCCTAATTCCAAAGCACTTGGCAGAAACGAATGCAAAAACATCTCTGGAAGAATACACCTTTATCCAAGGCCTTAAATAATGACTACAATTTTTCAAGACAGTGTACCAAACACAGACAGAAACAGCCAAACACTCAAGGAAACAAGAATGAGAACTAGCCCTGGCTGGTTTGCTCAGAGGTTAGCACATCAGCCAGAGCACTGGAAGGTTGCGGATTCGATTCCAGTCAAGAGCACATACCCCAGTTGCAGGCTCGATCCCCGGCCAGTCCAGTCGGGTTCGTGCAATAGATGTGTCTCCCTCAGAAAAATGTTTCTCTCTCTTTGTCTCTCCCCTCCCTTCCACTCTAAAAATCAATGGGAAAATATCCTCAGGTGAGGTTTAACGAAACAAAACAAAACAAAACAAAAAACGAAAGAAAACTAGTTGTAACAGAAGCAAACAGTATCAGGCCTAAGAGTATAAAGCGATTAAACTTATTATGTTTAAAAATACAAAAGAAACTAGCCGAAACCGGTTTGGCTCAGTGGATAGAGCGTCGGCCTGCGGATTGAAAGGTCCCAGGTTCGATTCCGGTCAAGGGCATGTACCTGGGTTGCGGGCACATCCCCAGTAGGAGATGTGCAGGAGGCAGCTGATCAATGTTTCTCTCTCATCGATGTTTTTAACTCTCTATCTCTCTCCTGCAGCAGTGGAGGCAGGAGAGGCAGCACTAAGGACCCCTGTCCGTCTGCGGGGTCTGCCGGCTTATCCTTCAAGGGGTCCTGGACTGCAAAAGGGTGCAGGCTAGGCTGAGGGACCCCCTCCAAGTGCATGAATGCTGTGCACCGGGCCTCTAGTATACAGAAAATACAATAACCATGTACCCACCAACCAAACGTAAGACTTTAATCTTTATCCTGTTTCTCTCTTTTAAAGTATAAGACATTTCAAATACATTATTTACTTATTTATTTTATTTTAATCCTTACCCACGGATCATTTTCCCACTGAATTCTAGAGAGAGTGAAAGGGAGAAGGAGGGTGGGGGAGAGAGACATGGAAATGAGAGACACATCCACTGGTTGCCTCCAGCACACGCCTCTACCGGGGGCTGGGGAACCTGCAACTCAGGTAAGTGCCTTCGACCAGGAATCGAACCCGCGACCGGAATCCGTCCGCAGGAAGACGGTCTAACCACCGAGCAAACCAGCCAGGGCTCAAATATAGTTGAAATTTCCCTCCCTTCTCAGAGATGATACTGACTATTCTAAAGCGGATGCAATTCCCCTGCATGTTGTTAATTTATGACACACCTAACACTAGGGTCTTTAACCAGCATTTTAACGCTGGGTCTCCTCATCAGCACAGTGAAGGCAGCAGCCACCTCCCCAGAAATGCTCCTCCCAGTGGACTATGAGCTCCTTCCTGACAGCCGCCCACCTAACAACATGCCGGCTCCTTTTCCTTCTCGTAGCTGTTCCCCACACGGAACACCTGCCTCCCCTTCTCCATTTCCCATGGATCCCTCACGCGGTCTCTCCCTTGACAGCGCCTCAGACATGGCAGGGGCTCAGGGGCGCCGTCTACACTGGCGGCACCGGGAGCTGGCAGGCAGACGTCAGGTGGCCCAAGTGTTGAGAAACCCAAGGGCCTGGTGTCGAGGAAGATGCTTTGGAGTCAACTCTTAGTTCAAATTCTCTCCAAAAGCCCTTGGATTGGAGCAGGGACAACCTTTGCGCAGCGATGCTCCAGGAGGGCGGTCTGACCTCCTTCTCCGAGTCATGCAAACGGAGCCCTGACCATGGACCAAATGCCCCTGGAAGCATTTCCTGCACAGACCAAATCACGGAATCCTGGCCCAAAACAGAACCATGTAGAGGGGTCCTTCCCCCGCAGGACGGAGCTGAAGGAGCGGTGGAGTCACAGAGCCGGACGCGCAAGAGCGGGGCTGCGAACCGGGCCTCTGACCCGCACCCCTGACCCGGGGTCTCGCGAAGCTACGACTGTAAGACCACGCGGGCCACGCACGTGGCACACAGCAGACACGCAAAACACGGCAGCCGGGCTCGAGGCCGTGGAAGGCCACAGGGCAGAGCAGCGTTTTACTAGTATTTTCCTCAGGAGGGAAATGGGGCCGGGCCTGGCCGGTGACTCCGCTGAGGCAGACACCATGGTGGGCACGGGTCGACCCCAAGGAGAACACAATGGGCGCTGGGCCGACTCGGCCCCAACACCCTGGGCGACCCCCGCACGGCTCGCCTCCGCCCCGGGCCTGTTTCTGTCAGGGAACCGTCTCTGCTCTCTCCCATGCTGCCCGCGAAACGACAGGGCTCAGCGGACCGAGCAACGGAGGAGCCCGCGAGGCCTTCCTGTCCAGCAGGGCCGGGAAGCCGGGCCGGGCCGGCCCTAGGTCCGCGCGACCCACTCACCTCTCCCCCAGGCTCCGAGCTGGAGGAACCGCGGTCCAAACTCCCCGCGCCGGCTCCTCAGCCCGTGCGCCGCACGCCAGCTCACTTCGCGCCAGAAGCCGGCCGGTTCCGATTGGATGCGTCCTGAAAAATCCGACCAATACCGTCGCGTCACGGTATCTGTCCCCGCCCCCGTGCACGTCCGGGGCGGGGTCACGGCGCGGCGCTGAGGAATCACGTGTTCCCAACGCCCAATCATAACGCAGAATGTCAGGTCAGGTGACTACGGTTAAACCCCGGCTTCCGGTGCTGGTGGGGGCTCTGTTTTTGTTGTGTTTCCTAGAGTTGGTGAAGGTTCTTCATACAAAACCGGCGGCGGGGCCGCCGACGGCGGTGGGATTGGAGACCCCGGGTTTGAGGAGGCCTGAGACTCGCCGGTTCGCACAGGCAGAGGCTCTGGTCCTCCGTCTGCGCCTCGGCCGCTCTCCCCTCTCCTCTCCCTTAGCAGCGCGGGCTCTGCCCCACCGCAACGCTAAGATGTCAGTAACAGGAAAAGGGGCCGCAAACGCAGATTTCTCCAGGGACGTGGACAGTCCCTGAGAAGCCGAGCTGTGGTTCCCGCCGCTGTGGCCACGTGATGCCAGAGCTTCTTCCTTTTCTTTATTAAAATCCTTTATTTCTCCTTTAAGAAAAACTGAAAATCTGTTTCTTTTTTTATGCGTGAAGTATCCCAGTTTTTAAATTTTACCCAAAAAATGCGGGCAAACAAAACACGTTGAATTGTAGAATAAAGCAAAAGCAGAGTATTATTTCTTTAAAAATTATTGATTTCAGAGAGGGAGGGAGAGTAAGAGAAACATCCATGGGCTGCCTCCCGCACGCCCCCCCGCACTGGGGATGGAGCCCGCCGCCCAGGGGTGTGTCCTGACGGGGAATCCGACCCTGACCTCCTGGTTCCTAGGTTGACGCTCAACCACTGCTCCTCGCTGGCGGGGCTCCGCAGATTTTTAATAGTAAAATGGCCAAATAGGAAGTAGGATACAGACTAGGTACAAGCTCTGAACAGTCTCCCAAAAGAATAGAAGGCATTAGCCCTAGCCGGTTTGGCTCAGTGGATGGAGCCTCGGCCTGCGGACTGAAGGGTCCCGGGTTCGATTCCCGTCAAGGGCATGTACCTTGGTTGAGGGCACATCCCCAGTGCGGGCGTGCAGGAGGCAGCTGGTGGATGTTTCTAGCTCTCTATCCGTCTACCTTCCTCTCTGTAAAAAATCAATAAAATATATTTTTAAAAAAGAATAAAGGCATTAACACTTAGACTTAAAAGGATACCATCCTAGAACATTAAGTAGGACCCTCTCTGAACTCAATCAGGTGTGGGTAAAACGGACCACGTACTAACCTGACGAGCTCAGGGAAGGCCCGCCGGGCCGCCTTGCACACTCAGAGACCTACAATGACCACACAGGATGGTCTGAAATTAAAACTTTTATTTTTTTTTATTTTTTTATATTTTATTGATTTTTTACAGAGAGGAAGGGAGAGAGATAGAGAGTTAGAAACATCGATGAGAGAGAAACATCGATCAGCTGCCTCCTGCACATCTCCTACTGGGGATGTGTCCGCAACCCAGGTACATGCCCTTGACCGGAATCGAACCTGGGACTTTTCAGTCCACAGACCGACGCTCTATCCACTGAGCCAAACCGGTTTCGGCTGAAATTAAAACTTTTAAACTAAAAGCCGTCTAGGGCAGGTAGTCATGTCCTAGGCTAGAATCTTCCCTGGTAAAAGTCAGTCTTTACCTTAATTAAGCCTGGCTATTGTCTTTTCTTTGCATCTATCATAACATACCTTTGGAATGTCAGGACAACTCCCCCTTTTCCAGACCCCTCTGGACTCAACCCATGCACTCGAGTGGAGGCCATAAATCCTCTTATTATTATTACGTTAGTTGTTGACTGTTAACTATTCTGTACTCACCTGTGTAAAAGATGTGTCTGTCATACTACTTTTTATCCAATCCCAGAAGTTGCCACTTGGTTTTCTCCCGCCTTCTTAGTCTATCCCCAATGAATTTCATGTAACCCACACAAGTCTTCTCTTTTGATTGTAATGTATAACATAAGGTGCAAAAGCACCATTATTTCCATCTGTTGAGATTTTGCTTCCCGGCAATTGTGGACAGTTTGACTCAAACTCACAAAAAATCTTTACAGATTTGAATGTTTCTTACACTGACAGAGGGCTGACACTCCGCTGAAATCGCCTGCTTCACACACTGCCCATACCCTCCGTTTGCCTTTTTTTTCTTCAACTCTGTACCCTTCTCTACTGCCAGGCATTGTGCTAGACTCTGGAGAACTGCCTAATGGGGTATAAAGTGGGTTAGACTGTGAAAGAAGCGGACACTTGTTCACTAATAATGACAACATACGCCATAAGAAAGAGGATGGACATTATGGGAGCACCCAGGAGGGATACATGGCTTCAGAAGGTGTCCTTATATGTGAGAGATGAGCCAGTAACTCTAATATTGGATACTGGAGCCCTAACCGGTTTGGCTCAGTGGCTAGAGCGTCGGCCTGCAGACTGAAGGGTCCCAGGTTCGATTCTGGTCAAGGGCATGTACCTTGGTTGCGGGCACATCCCCAGTGGGGAGTGTGCAGGAGGCAGCTGATCGATGTTTCTCTCTCATCAATGTTTCTAACTCTCTATCCCTCTCCCTTCCTCTGTAAAAAATAATAAAATGTATTTAAAAAAATATTGGATACGGGTATGGGGGCCCTGATGGATGGGACCGAAGCATTAGTGTTGTAGTAATCCACCCTGGGGCTCCTATTCCGGATTGAACGTTCGTGACTCCCAAAATTCCCATGTTAAAGTCCCAGCTCCCAATGTGACTGTGTTGGAGATCAGACCTTTAGGAAAGGTAACTCAAGTTAAATACGGTTGTAAGGGAGGGCCCTAATGAATAGGGAATTACAAAGTGCTATCAGAGGGAAGGCCATGTGAGCACCAGCAAGAAGGCTGCTGTCCACAGGCCAGGAAGAGAGAGAGGCCTGACTAGAAACTGAATCAGCCAGCACCTTCATCTTGGACTTTCCGGCCTCCAGAGCTGTGAGAAAATAAATGTTGTTGAAGTCACCCAGTCTGGTGTTTTGTTATGACAACCCAAGATAACAAAGGCAGCACCCTGATTTTTCCAAGTTTAAGAAGAAACAGGATTGTATTATCGAATAGAAAAGCACTGGGGCTAGTCACCCCTTAATGAATTGGGTTTTATATAAAAAGTTTTAATCGGTGAAGGCTCTGTTTTAACTTAAATTGAACCATATTAACTATTTTAACTGGGGAGTGGGGTCCTTGGGGTCCCATTGTATCAAGCCAATTTGTAACTGCCAAAGATTTAATTTTTTAATTTGTTATTTATTGTGTTAGAGTGTGTTTGTCCAATATGGGATATTTTTATGGATATGGGTATTATAAGCAAGGGAAATTTAGGCAAGGCAATAGTTAGTGAGGCATTCCTATTTTTTTTCTCTATTTTATAGTTGCTTTCTTCAGATTATAGGGGCACAATATTTACATTTAGTGGGATCCCCAGGTATAACTATAGTAATTAAGCCATGGTAATAATGAAGTCCAGAAATTTTTGTCTATTGGTACATTTTAGCAAATATTAGAGTTAATTTAGGACTTAAGTTGTAGGCGCACAAAAGCCATTTTTATCTTTTTGTTACATAAATTCTTTTAGTATATAAGTTTTTGTATATAAATTTTAGATTTCCATTTGGACTAAATTAAGGTCCTTTGTTTTAATTTAGTTAGATATCACATATACATATATAATTTATCTTTTATATATTTATGTTAAAATATTATGTATACATAATTTACAAATTATCTATCTTTATATACAAAAGGCTAACTGACCGACTGTATGTCCATCCGACCATCCGGCCGGCTGGTACATATGACACGCACTGGCAATTTAAAAATGAACAGTTGACTCGTGCATGCACGATACATATAAAGCTCTCGCTGGCGCCAATCGCACGCGTGTGTTTCGATCTGTCATTGTTGATCGTGAATTTGGTTGTTTTTGTTGACATTCTGAAGTGGAAAGAAAGCAGCAGCATCGACAGAATATGTCTGAAGACCAACTATTGGCACAACGTACCTCTGAAGCCAAAAAAAAGAAAGTGACAGTTTCCCATGATGCCAGCATTTCCGATGACTATTAATAAATCACAAGGACAAACTCTAGACAGAGTAGGAATATTCCTACCTGAACCCATTTTCAGACATGGTCAGCTATATGTTGCTTTCTCTCAAGTTTGAAGAGCGTGTGATGTTAAAGTTCTAAATACTTCATCACAAGGGAAATTAGTCAAGCACACTGAATGACTGAAGAGTTTTTACTCTTAATGTGGGATACAGGGAGATATTAGGATAAGTTTAATCAGTTTATCAGTCATTGTTTTTATCAATGTTTTTATATCATGTTTTTGTTGTTTTTATATCGTATCTTTGTTGTTATGTCATGTTGTTATTGTTTATTTATTAATCAATTTATATATTATTTTCATATACATTTTACTAATTTTCTTTCATCTCTGACACTTCTATTATAGAAAAAGGGTGAACAGCGATATTAAAATGTTTATTCTAATTAATTCCCTTTCAATGTGCATGAATCCATGCACCGGGCCACTAGTGTATTCATTCTATATAATAAAAGGCTAATATGCAAATTGTTCCCTCATCCGGGGTGCTCGACCGGGAGTTGGACCAGGAGAGCAGGGCTGGTGGCCAACCGCTTGAGGCCCCTTCCCCCAGCCAGCCCTGCTGATCAGCCCCTATTGGGGTGGGCCAGCCAGACCTCACCTGTGCACAAATTCATGCACCAGGCCTCTAGTAATATATAAATTATGTGTCCATAATTTATACATAATTTAGTAACCTTTTATTTTCCTTGCCCTGGATTAGGGTTTTGTTTTTCTTTTTTCCCTGCCCGTCCGCTTTTCTCCTATTTTAGGCTTTTAGCCACTGAAGCCGTAGTGGTTTCTGTTTCAGGCTGATAAAAGGACAGAGGGAGGGGGAAGGGCCCAGTG